CAGCAGCAAGGTGCATGACATGGGGATTGATCTCACGACCCCGAGATCATGACCTGAGCCAAGATCAAGAGTTGGACGCTTAACCAACTGAGCCACCCAGGTGCCCCATACATTTCCAGATGTTTTAATAATTTATTTATATGCACATAAATGTACCTAGAAAAGTATATAGATTTGTCTTAGGTGTGTATTTACGTAGGTGGTGTTATACCGTTCTTATTCTGTAGTTGTGTATTAGGTAAATGCTATCACACTGTTCATATTTCATACCATTGTGTTTTCCTATTTTTATTTAAAGGTATATGTTAGAGACCTTTCATATTCAGGTTGACTTCATTTTGTAAAGTATGCCAGGATATGCATGTGCTAGACTTTTCTCCTTAATCTCTTTAGGTAGTGAATCACACTGATCTGCTTTCAGTGATGAAACATCCCAAATTCTTCTTTTAGCCACTTTCTAGGATGGATTTGTTCATATTCTAGCTAGAATTTTTTCTCTGTGAGAATTGAACTCTAGGTTTGGGTGGTGTTTTGTTAACCTACCTTATAGTGTCCTTGTCAGGACCCAATCATGAGACTTGTGAAATGAGTCAGGTAGTAACTTACTTCTTTCCTATGTCTGGGAAAAAATGTTAGGTATGTAGGATTTGCCTTTCCTTTGAACATGTAGTAGAACTCACGCATAAACTTATCTGGGTCTAATCTTTTATTGTTTTTACAATTTCTTCCAAGGTCACTTACCAGTTTAAGTATTTTCCTTTTTTGAGTCAAATTTATTTTAACTTTGAAAAACCCATCCACTTCATTTAGGTGTTCAGATATTTTGGTTAAAGTTACACATAGTATTCAGTCACATGTTTTTCTTCTTTTGTAATTACATTCCCTTGTCATCATGTACATTGTGAGTTTATACTCCCTCATCCTTTTCCTTCCCCATCCTTCGGTCTCCCCAGTACTTGCCAAATGTTTATCTCATATGTGAATATTCAGAAAGCAATTAACTTTTACTAATCATTTTTAAGAAAATTTTTGCTGTATGTTACATATTTATTGTATAATGCATCTACCTTTCATTTCTGAGAAGTTTATAATTTTTGCTTTGACTGTTCTGCTTTACTACATAACAATTTAGAAGTCTATGTATGTTCATGTTTAATTTGTATGTGTATAGATTTAATGCACTCTCTCAGGGATGCCTGGGTGGCTCAGTGGTTGAGCATCTGCCTTTGGCTCAGGGCGTGATCCCGGGTTCCTGAGATCAAGTCCCACATTCCTTGCATGGGGCCTGCTTCTCCCTCTTCCTCTGCCTATGTCTCTGCCTTTCTTTCTCTGTGTCTCTCATGAATGAATAAATAAAATCTTTTTAAAAAATTAGAAAAAAGGAGGCACCTGGGTGGCTCAGTGGTTGAGCATCTGCCTTTGGCCCAGAACGTGATCCTGGAGTCCTGGGATCAAGTCCCACATCCGGCTCCCTGCATGGAGCCTGCTTCTCCCTCTGCCTATGTCTCTGCCTCTCTCTGTGTGTCTCTCACGAATAAATAAATAAAATCTAAAAAAAAAAAAATGCACTCTCTCAATCTGTAAGTTGGCCTAGTTGTGGCCAATGAGCATGACCACCCTAATTTCTGCCTTTTGAAAAAATGCTAAGGTTTCCTCTATGGCCCAATTATGATTAGATTCTGAGATTGTTATATGTGTGTGGAGTAGCTGGAGTACAAAGAGGGGATGAAGAACACATATAATAATAGATAGCTATATATTATTATCTATTATATTCAGGACTCATATATATTGTATCTGTATATATATGTAAAGAGAGAGGGAGGGGCATGTCTGAATTCAGTAACATACTTGAGTCATTTAAATTGTTTTGATTAAACTAGTAAGTGTAATATTCAAATCCTCAATATTCTTACATTGTGGTCTAATTCCATTAATTTCTGAGAATCATTCATTGTCTCCTAATGTACTTGTGACTTTGCCAAATTTCTTTGTATTTTACCAGTTTTTCAGTATATGTCCTGACGCTACATACTCACATGCTTTAATGTTAATGACTGTTAAATCATTGTGACCATGGCTTTTCCTAATATGATTTATCACTGTCTCTTGCTGTTTTCTCTGAATCTGTTTTGGCTGATATGTTACTGTGGACACCTGCTTTCTTTCCTTCCTAGTATGTGGCTGTTAGATCATTTTTTCATCCCTTCATTTTCAAACTTCTTGTATTATTTTTATTTTATAAGTATTTCTGGCAAACAACCATAATGTTACCTAATGTCAAAACCTCTTTGTTTTTATAAGTGAATTTAACCAATTCATATGTATTATAGCTAGGGATATGTTGTCATTTTATCTTGTGTTTTGTGTTTATAGTGTGTTCGTTTCCCCTTCCTTCCCTACATCTGTTTTCTTTTTAAAGGAGACTCATGTTTCTTTGTTCTCTTTTCCCTTCTAATAATATTCAAGTTTTACTTTCCATTTTTAATTACCTATAGGAAAAACTTAAATGTGTATTTTTCTGCTAATGTCTAGAGTCTTAAATACTGATATTCTGTTCCCAAAATGGTTTATCTCCCTTTGGTCCATACTTCCCCCCACCCTACCCCCACCCCCGACCACTTCAGTTGCTACAACCTCTGTAGTGATATAATCAGGAATTTGGGAGCAACATTATTATAGTTCATCCTCCTTTTTTTGCATAATAAGTAAACTTTCCCTTTTTTTATTCTCTCATTGTCTCCACATTACTTCCCATATCCTTTCTCTACATTTATTTTTCTTCTTGACAGATCATATAATACCTTAACTCTTTCAGAGTAGGTCATTAAATCTTTCTGCTATCTTGCAAATCCATTTTCTCCTAAAAATTAAGCTGATTTGATTGGACACTATTTCAAGTCCCAAACTTTTGTCCCTCATACCTTTGAGGTTGCCATATTATGGACAGTTGCCTGATTTCTGTGTGCTTGTCACTCGCCTCTGAATTGTCTTCTTTCTGTGTATCTATGAGGAATTTTATAACTTCTCTTCATAGCTGTTGTTTTCAGTGTCCCCCAAAGGTATGTTTAGGTATTTGTCTATCCCCTCGCCTTTATACTGCTTGCATCAATGGACTTTTTTTTTCTTTAAGATTTTATTTATTTATTCACGAGAGACACACAGAGAGGCAGAGACACAGGCAGAGGGAGGCTCTCTGTGGGGAGCCTGATTTGGGATGGGATCCCAGGATCCCGGGATCACACCCTGAGCTGAAGGCAGACTGAGCCACCCAGGTGCCCCACATCAATGGACTTTTTTCAACTGAGGACTCAGATATTCACACTGAAGACTCCTAACTCTGGGAAACGAACAAGGGGTAGTCGGGGGGATGGGGTGACTGGGTGATGGGAACCAAGGGGGGCACTTGATTGAATGAGCACTGGGTGTTACACTATATGTTGGCAAATCGAACTCCAATAAAAATATACATCAAAAAAGACTCATCTGAATATGCAAATATTCACAGTTCAGAAGTGTTCTTTCACGTTGCTTTGATTAGTCCCTCCATTGGCTCTGCTCTCTCTCCTTTTAATAGGAGAAGCTGTTCTTTTGGGTGGTGGTTGAACCTCCAGCTTTCATTTTCCAACTCTCTAAATTTTCCCATTGTGCTTCCATTTTGTGTTGCCTTCTGGGAGAATCTCTGGGCTCAGCATTTCATCTTAATTCTCTTTATAATTCAGCTTACCTGTTAAGAGTTTGATTTCAACAATCTTTTTTAAATTTCTAGACTAATTATGTTTTTAGAACTGAATATACTTTTTCCTCCTGCAATTATCTGCTGTACTTAAGCCAAAGCCAAGTTCTGTCTGTCCTGTTAACTCTATTTTCTAGGGTGTCAGTTCTACTTACTGGGTTTGGTGTCCATCTTTCATGTTCTTGACATTGCTTAAATATTTAGTGATTCTTGGTCAGATGCTGCGCTTTTCATTTAAGATGTCCTGCTTGCAACTTACTACAGGTACATCATGGTGTTTAATGCTAAGAAGTGTGGGTAGGAGTGCCCACTTCTTCCTAAGTGCAAACAGTCACCCTGAAGAATGCCTGGGCTCTCTTTCAGTGTCACACATGCTGCCCATATTAGAAAGCAGACATTCTTTATTTCCCCAAGTGGCTCAAGTGAGGAAGGGGTGAGAGGGCTATTGAAAGAACCAAGAGCAATAGAGAATTTCAGCTTCTCCTACTTGATTCTGCAACCCCTCGTCCAATGGGCTCCTCTGTTCATGCGTCTACCTTCAAGCTCATAGTGTAGGCTTGCAGAACTACCCACCCTTTGCAGAGGCCTCTCCTATAAATAGGGTCAGGTTTGTGGTTTCTTTTCTCTAATGCCATCAGATTAAAATATATATCTTATTATTTTGTATGATTTGAAGAGGGAGGGGAATTTTTCCAAATGATTACCTCGGGTTGATCACCTCTTTGTAGATATTACAGTTGGCCCTTGAACAATGTGAGAGTTAGGGGTTCCAGCTTTCCACGTGGTCAGAAATTCACACACAACTTTCTACTCTGCCAAAACTTAACTACTAATAACCTACTTTTGACCAGAAACCTTATCAATAACATAAACAGTTAGTTAACACATATTTTGAATATGTAGTATATATTGTATTCCGGCAATAAAGTAAGCCAGATAAAAGAAAATGTTAAGAAAATCCTAAGAAAGATAAAATATTTTTAAGTACTGTCTGTATTTATTTAAAAGAAAAAATCCTCATATAAATGGACCCATACAGTTGAAACCTGTGTTACTCAAGGGCCAGTGATATTTCCCCAGGTTCAGAGACAAGGAGGGAAGTTGGAATCAGATGAAGGAAAGAGGAAGAAAGAGACAATTTATAGGCTTATTCTATGCATATGAAGAAGAGCTTTTGCAAACGCATAAATATAAAATGATTAACCTTTGAGCTTTGCTTGTTTTAAAATTTTGTACACTAATAAGATATTCTTTTTCATTTTAGGTCTTGCATATAATAATGGCCAAACCTTATGAATTTAATTGGCAGAAGGAAGTTCCTTCCTTTTTGCAAGAAGGAGCCATTTTTGACAGATATGAAGAGGTAAAGAAGTATTATTAATCTTTTCTCTCAAAACATTCTTATAATTATTTCATTTTAATTACAATATTGAGTAAATACTCTGACATAAGTAAGAACATCTTTAAGATTAATAAGTTGGAATAGTTGGAAAGAGGCAAGCTATGAGATAAAATAAAAATGATAATGATACTGTAATTTATTGAGCACTTACCATGTGCCAGATATAATCATGATAATGATGCTATAATTATTGAGTGCTCACTGTATGCCAGACAATCTTCTAAGCACTTGTGTGCATTATTTGTTTAATTCTTCACAACAACCTTATAAGGTCATTGCTATTATTACCCTGGTTTTACAGATGGGTTTCATGTAGTAACAGTTTTTGCCTAATGAAGTGCTTTTGGCAGGCTTTCTACATAAAACTTTGTATTTGTTATAAATTGAATAGTGATTGGACTTTGCACTAGTCACTTGCTTTGCTTGTTCCATTTGCACAGAACAGTTGGATCAAAGTTTTGGATGCTCCTGTTTCGATCACTTATTGTTTGTGCCCTTGCAAGGTGGCCGTGGCTCCAGACTTTATATAGAAGCAGGGGCTTGGGGCCACCAATCTGTTCAGACAGTTTGGGTTGATGCTTGAAGCCTCATCAGCATTGTAAATGCATTGCTTTTCTTAGGTTGTACTTGAAGTTGAGGTGAATTGGGGAAGAGAGGGTGGGGAGACTGTTGCCTGTGAGACAAAGGGAAACCTAAAACTTGTTAAGATTTCATCTAAAATTGGAATTGGTTTCCCTTAAAGTCGCTGGAATGTATGTGGTGGCTGACTGTGGTGACCCACTCAGAGGTTCAGATTGTCAGGCCTTTTCATGAGGTCTCTGGGCTGACGTGACTGTGTACTTGTAGACTTGGTTTTTCCAAAATGTGTATCCTAATACCCTCTAGATTTATACTGCATAGTTGCTTTGTAAGTAAACAAAATTGAGAAAGGCAAAGGATGGGCCTCAGTGTGGTCACTATTCTTGTATTGAATTAAAATATTGAAGTAACAGCTATTTATAGGACAAACTAGACTCCTTCTTGGAAGGAACAGCTAACCCTGTTCTGCTATGAGAAGACATAGAAAATATTCCGCTCCTGGAGGCTACCACTATTAATTCTTCGGCAATTTTCTCTTACTCTTTTTCTGTTTGTTCTTTTTTTTTTTTTCTCTCATCCAGAGCTGTGACTGTAATCTTTTGAAAATAAAAATCAGAACTTTTTTTTTTCCTCTATTTCAAATGCTTCCATGACTCCCTGTTATGGGATAAAGTGAAATACAAGGTCTTCCTTAATCTGGCTCCTACCTAACTCCGCAGAATCTCTTCCCACCAGTTTCCTACACATAGTCTCTACTTTAGCCATAAAAATCCCCTGGTAATTCCCTCAAGGTACTATTCTGTTACATGGTTTATGCATACTGCTCTCTTTTCCTAAAATGCACTTGTTCCTCCAAGTTTGACGGTGAACTCCTACTCATCTTTCAAAATCCAGATGGGAAGTCACCTCTTTGATATCATCCTTGACCCATTCAATAAGAATTGATAACTGCTTTGTGCCACCACTAACCTATCCTTGTACATAGTACATTGCATTCACATTTTATTTACTATTTTTATGTCTCCTACTGTATTTTGAGTTTCTTGAGGGCAAATACCATATTTTACTTACCTTTCTCTCTCTCGAGACCAGCAGGATGCCTGCAACTGCCAGACTTACTGTGGATGTGGCATTACAGAGGATTTTAGCGAGAATTGTTTCCAACTTGGTCTGGTTTTATTGTTTGTTCCTTCTCTCAGCAAGTGAAAGGATGAGAGTACTTGATAATCTTTGAGATCTGTATGGGGATGTGAACCTCAACAGGTTTAAAATATCAGGGTAAATCGTGTTACAATTTTTATTTTTTGGATAAAAAAAGACCAATATCAATAGTTTGATAGAGTTTAGGCTTAATACAAAGTATAAGTTATTGAAATTGACAACTTTTATCCACTTTACCCAGAGTGGCAAAGAAGGACAAGGACTGGCTTTTCTAGAAGCACTTATAAGTATTTCTCCCAGGTAAGCCATATCCAGGTTAGATACTAGAGTCACCAAGATAATGACCTTTGCCCTTGATTATGAGCTAGTGGGGCATCACTCCCTGCATCTGCTAGAGTGCCCTCAATTGGGAGTTTCTTCAGTCAGCATCCCAAGCACTGGAAATCTATAGGATTATGTAAAAATATGGCATGGCTTCTAATAATTCAGAGAAGGTCATTTTGAAGAGATTAAATATAATCACTGGCTGAGTATCTACTGTTGTCATATAAGAAGAAACACATTAGAGGAGAAAAGTACTATTTTTATGCTTTATCAAGTGACATGTGATTTGATGAACTAGAGGTTATTATTTTTATTTCTCAGGATGATTTTCTTTAGCTGTTAATCATCACAACTCACTCTTATGTAGAAAACACTGATTTACGTGGGCTTCTAAAGGCAATTGCTTTTTCACCCAGGTTCCTCTGCAAATGAGGTAATAGTCAAAATCTTGAACAAATATTAAATGTAACCCAGCTTGGCTTTCAGCTTTAAGTGATATCTTATCAGGATTTTCAGCAAAACAAGTTTTCACTTCATGAAATCGATGCCTCTCTTCATCACAACGTCTCAAATAAGAAAGTCACAGTGTTAGAAATTGGACCGTAACTACTTTTAATTACCTTTCCCCAATCATGTAAGATTCAGTTCTTTGGAGCCACGGCTACTGAAATATTGAGGGCAACAGAATGCAAGCAGAAAAGGGTTGTTTCTACTGTCTGTGTGAACAGCCGTGGGAAATGAGTTGATAGCAAGCGAGAGGAACACAACCAGAACATCCCAAAAGCACTATATAGCAAAGGGACCATTTATGAAGTGGCATAAATGCCTTCAGGACCATATGACAACTACCATTATCATGAGGGCCTGAGGGATCACCCAAATATTAAATTATGTTCCACCTACATGTCTAAAGAAGGCAGGGGTGGGGAAGGGTGTCAAGCTGAGAGTGAGCAGGTACTAGGTCAGAAGAAAAGAAGTGTTTGCTAGTCACTATTTTAAAAGTATATGCTATTTTTGCCAAGAAATGGCAAGAAATAAGTTCAACTGCATTTAAGCACTATTTTATTATTTCTGTATTTCTTTTGAGGTAGGCCAAATTTTTAGAGACTGTATAACATAGCAGCCTGCATTGCAGTCCGTGATGCTCTCCCCATGCCACTGTGTAAGTCTGCTGCTTTTTATCTAACTCGACTTACAAGTTCTTGAAATGCAAAATGTATTTTGTTTCCTAAGGGATGCTTGTTACTTGCTCAGCCTTTAAAGCAGAGATTTTTCTCTTGCAGAGTCAAGAAATAGCAGTACTTTTTAAACACACGCAACCCAAATGTCTCCAGCTCAAAGAATCTCCTGGCTTTCTTTTGATTACTTATTAAAAGGCTGAAGGCCTTATCCCCTGGTGATGCCGGGCCCACCCCAGTCTTTCCTAGAATTCCTACCTGCTGACACTTTGTTGCTGATGGTTCATATCCTCAGTGTCTTCATACCTCTCTATTCCCAGGACTGTTCCCTGCTCTGGTTTGTTTTGCTGTCTGAATCTTTTGTATATATCATCAAATCCCAAGAACAAGAATATTGTACAAAATAGACTTCCACATAAGATTTGGTGGTAGCAAAGGGGGGTTAGAGCACACAACTGGACTCACTTCAAGGTTAAAGTTCAGAGATTGGGACGCCTGGGTGGCTCAGTGGTTGAGCGTATGTCTTTGGCTCAGGTTGTGATCCTGGTGCCCTGGGATCCAGTCCCACATCAGGCTCCCCAAAGGGAGCCTGATTCTCTTTCTGCCTATGTTTATACCTTTCTCTCTGTGTCTCTCATGAATAAATAAATAAATCTTAAAAAAAAAATGTCAGAGATTGTACTGAACAAATTTTCTTAGCCAGCCTGGCCAGGGAGTGTCTCTCACTATCTTCTCCTTTTGCCCCTCTCCTCCACTAGGAGGCACGTTCTGGTTTCTCTTCCTTACTTTTTAAAATCTCCTCCTCAGAGTCCTTTTCCAAATCACCCATTTCCTCTTTTCCACATGCCTTTTCTCCAAATTTAAAAAAAAAAAAAAGTTTTTAATTTTTTTTCTCTCAAGCCAAACAAGCAAACAAAATTTTAGTCCCTTCTCATCCTGAGCAGTTTGGAAGTGAGAGTTTGAGGTAAAAAGGGAGCCAAACTCTCCTGAGACCTTTACTTTTGCATAACCTTGCATAATCCTTCTAGATTGGTGGTCACCAGGGGAGCAGTTGCGTGATGAAGATGGTCAGTCCTCATGTCTCTCATTACCACATGTGGCTGTCCAGCACTTGAAATGTGCCTGATGGGATGGAGGGAATTGGGTTTTTGTTTTTGTTTTTAAGATTTTATTTACTTATTCATGAGAGAGGCAGAGACATAGGCAGAGGGAGAAGCAGGCTCCCTGTGGGGAGTTGATGTGGGACTTGACCCCGGGATCATGACCTGAGCCACAGGCAGACACTCAACCAGTGAGTCACCCAGTCACCCTTGGGAACAGGGTTTTTAATTTTAATTAATTTTAACGTAAGCTGACCTAGCTACACATGACCAGTACCTATCTTATTGGGCTGCACAGTTCTAGACAACAAGCTCAAACCACAACCAGATGTTAAAATGCCATCTTCCTCTCTCAACACAAGAGAAGGAGTTCTTCATTCATGTGGTTGGAATCTACGGTTCACTTCAGCCATTTCTTCTTGATTGCAGCCAGAGCAGAGATTTAAGTGTTTTAGAAATGACTCACCTCAGGCCCCCATCCTTCCCACATCCCAGATCCCCAGGTAGAGGCCACCCCTTTTTCTCACCCATGGGACTTGATTGTAGCTGAGAGCAGCTGCTAGGGTAGAGTCCCCTTTTCTTGCAAAACCTTGGTCTTTTATACTAGCCCCTTCCACCC